AATGAATCTCTTAAAGAAAACTTATTTAAAAAGTTAAAACCCAATTAATTCCACTCATATGAAATTAACTTCAATTTATAGTTTTATATCTAATAACACATAATTCAATCACAATTTATTTTTAACAAAAAATGATATCTAAAGATCGATAAGTAATAATATATAATAATATTAATAAAAGGAGATAGAAACACAATTTATGGTTTTATATGGAATTAAAAAGTTGTGTCCAAAAAAGGATATGTAATAATATAATGATTGTTGGAGGTGCAAAGAATGACTAAAAATAAATAATATAATGGGAGAATAAGAAAGAAAAGAATAATAACAAATGAATTATGAATATTTGACTATACTTTCCATGCCGTACTAATGCATGATGTCTCCACTACAACATTGACTTCTCTTTTTTATAATATTTATTTTCATTTAGAGAGAAATTACTACGACCTAGCCTTTCCATCGATATGTAGATATTATAATGACCAAGAAATGCAATTGCTCTTCACATGATTTTATGCATTGTTTCTATTCAAAATTCAACCTTTGTTTATTTGAATAAAAATCCAATTAATTTGATATACCAAACCCACGCCACATGCTTCTAGCGCAGCAATGACTTCCCTTTTCCCGTTTTGCTTTCATTTCTTTTCATCAAGTATTAAAGCAATTAATGTTTCACTTTCTTCTCTATACTTTTTACACATTAATTATGATTTTACACAAAACTTTCTTTTATACATTTTTCACACATTAATATATAGTCTAATATTATAATAAACCTTAACTTATTCCATGTCACAAAACTTTCTTCTCTACACTTTTCATACGTTAATATATAATCCAATATTCCAAAAAACCTTGACTTATTCCATACGTTGATATACTAAACCACACCACATGCTTCTAGCCCAACAATGACTTCCCCTTTCCCCTTTTGCTTTCATTCCTTTTCATCAAGTATTAGAGCAATTAATTTTCCACTTTCTTCTCTACACTTTTTATATGTTAATTATAACTCCACACAACCTTCTTCTCTACGCTTTCCACACGTTAATATATAATCCAATATTCTAGAAAACCTTAACTTATTCCATGTCTTTCAGTTGAAGACTTCTTCATTACAATAATGGAATATTACATCAATAGTATTCTAACCAATAAAATATTTATAAATCATAAGATTCTTTTTCCATCACATTCATTAGAGGTTTCTCATGCTGGTTCTTGTTAACTATGGTTTCCACAAAAAACTGAATTATAAACAACTATTAGTTGTCACATATCAACTATTAATTGTCACATATCAACTATTAATTGTGAGTTTTCCTGAAATAGATAAATCAAATAGGATAATAACTCTTGACTTTATTTTTTTTCATGAATTGTTTTTCATTCAGCCCTTTTTATTGCCCAAATCATAACTTGTGAAGCTCATGTTCTCTATTGTTCTACCATGCGCACTAATAACTTTTAACCAAGGATAAAAGAAAATGAAAGAAGTTAGCTCTCTTCAACTTCTTATTATTCTTGGCTTTAGAATGCATGGCATGACTCTTGGATGTATTAACTGAAAACAAAGATAACATAATTATAGTATCATGTGGCATTATAAACTTATCATATGATGTATTGTTATGTAATTAGTTTTTTATTTAAAAATTCACTAAAAATATTGTATACATTCATTTATTTAATATTGTGTTATAATTGTAAGTTTATAATTATATATCATATTATAAATATAGTATTATCAAAATAAAAATACTTAACAAAAATTAGGTATAGAAACATAACTCAATGTAAAAGTTGGAATGCTC